ATAGGTTTAAGGTGAGAAGGGAGAGAGACGAAAGGGTCCAGAGAGGCAATTTTTTTCATATTCAGGGTAGTGAGTGTCAGGAATGGGTTGCCAGAGGTAGTGGTGGAGGTGAGTACAATTTTGTCATTTAAGACGCATTTTGTCAGATACATGGATGGGATAGGTATGGAGGGATATGGACCAAATGCAAGCAAATGGGACCAGATTAATTGTAGAAACTGGGCAGCATGGACAAGTTGGGCTGAAGGGCCTGTTTCCACGCTGTAAACCTCTATGAATCTAGAAAGATTACCTCTTTACCCCCACATTGCAGACAGGAGACTATCAGAGAACTCAGCGCCAAATACTGCAGTTCAGTCTGACAAGACAATTAGTCAAATGGAACCTAACCTGTCAAAATAAAACATTCATCTTGACATCTCTGTTAACTAATTCCAGTGTCACGAATTGCCTTCAATCTCATTCAGCTAAAATTGATCAACAGCAGGATGGATCAGTTTGAATGTACAGGGTCGGATCTCAGTACATCTCACAGTCTTGAAATGACCTCTTCCCACGCAACCCCTGTTCATTCTCTGCTCTCCATACACCAACATCCTTAAACTCTCAACACTCCCACATTTAAACAAAACAAAACCAAAGATCTGCGGATGCTGGAAATAAGAAAGAAAAACAGAAATTGCTGGAAATACTCAGCAAGTCTGGCAGCAGAGTTTTAATGAAACACTAACTCTGATTTCTCTCCACAGATGCTGCTAAACCTGCTGAATTTTTCCAGCAATTTCTCTTTCTGTTACACTCCTACACTCTGCCTTTCTTTTCTACAGCCTCATGTGACTCTCAAGGAGTTTGTCCATCCCTCTCCCGCAACCCTCAATGCTGCCCTCTTAGTCTCCATTTGTCCTTTACTCATAGTTACCTGAGTTCCTCTCTCATTAATAACCAATTTCAACAGAAAAGTGTAAGTTTTTACACTTTGGCATGAAAGGTAAAGCCATCACAATTTTCTTGGGAAATACAAGTGAAAATGGGATAGATGAGCAAACGGGTTAGGAGCATTAATATACAAATTTCTCAAAGTTCTTTCACAATTCCAAGAATGTAATAAAACAAAGCAGACACTTGCTTTATTCCGAGAGGAACAGAATTGAGCAGTCATAGAATCATTGAGCCATACAGCACAGAAACAGACCCTTCGGTCCAACTCATCCATGCCAATCAAATTTCTTAAATTGAACGATTCCTATCCTCAAAAGGGTCCCGAAATGTTAACTCTGTTTTTAACTTCACAGACGCTGCCAGACCTGCTGAGCTTTTCCAGCAACTTTGTTCTTATTGGTTTTTATTGGGTTAGTTATCTCAGTTGGCTTGACAGCTGGTTTGTGATACAGTGATGCCAATAGCATGGTTTCAATCCCTGCGCTAGCTGATGTTACCATGAAGGACTCTCCAGCTCAACCATCACCACTCACCCCTCTCGAATGAGAGAGCAGCCCTATGGTTGAGTGAGACAATGGTGATTTTACATTGAAAAGAGAAGATGGAGAATATTATCACTTATATGAAAGAACGAAATTAACATAAAATCATCATCGAAGACTCAAAGGAAATTCAGAAGAAGGGTCTTTGTAAAGTGGTGAGAATGTGGAATATCTTCTGACAGAGAGTGGTGGAAGTGAAGAGCGTAGCTGCAGTTAAGTGGAAGTTAGACAAGCACAAAGGAGAGAAGGGGATAGAGGGTTACAATGATAGATTTAGATGAGGAAGGATTGGAAGATGCTGAAGTAGTCATAGAAGAAGAAGAAACAAGAACTAGGGATAGGAATAGACTAATTTGGGCCATCTAGTGAATCAATATGAATCATGACTGATCTTGGGCATTGTCAAGATGTCCCCAGTAATAGATTCCAGCAATTTTCCAATAATTGACATTAGGCTAACTGGCCTTAGCTCACTGTTTTCCCTTTCCCGATCAGGTAGCACAATTCCTGAATCTAAGAAATTTTGGGAAAGCAGAGCTATTGATTCCATTATCTCTGCAGCTCTCTCTTTTTGAGTGGACCATCCACTCCTAGGAATTTGTTGGATTTAGCCTCTCAGGTTTGTATAATACTTTTTCTCTGTTGATATTAATTTCACTTATTTCTTCATTCTTCTTAGCCATCTTTCTCTATGTGATGAAACTTGTGCTTTCTACACAAAATATTTGTTCAATGCCTGTGCTTCATTCTCCAGGATAACTTATCCAATAAAAGCAGAGTTCTTTCTTTAAATGCTCTCACTCTTTGTTTAGTGCCATATCCTTTAGTCTATTTACTAAATTAACCTTCCCTTATTCTCTCCTCATACCAGTGTAGTTGGTTTTGTTTAAGTTTAAGATTCTTTTATGTAATTGAGATTTCTCAGTTTCAAATTTAACATGGTATTGTGATCACTACTTCCCAGCAGATCTTTTACTTTCATGTTACTAATTAACTTTGTTTCATTGCATATCTTGGATCTAAGACATTTTCATACTGACTCAGTTCTGCAATGTATTCATCCAAGAATCTGTCATGACAACATTCAGCAAACTCATCTTCCTCAACACCCTTGCCAATTGTCGCGAACAGAGCACGGGTGCTCTACAGAGCGGTCTCTGAGCCTCCGCTTGGTCTCACGAATGTACAGGAAGCCACATCGGGAGAAGCGGATGCAGTAGACCACATTGGTGGATGTGCAGGTGAACCTCTGTCTGATGTGGAAGGTTTTTTTGGTTCCTTGGATGGAGGTGAGGAGGAAGGTGTAGGGTCAGATGTAGCACTTCCTGCGGTTGCAGGGAAAGGTGCTGGGGGTGGTGGGGCTAGTGGGGAGTGTGGAGCGGACAAGGGAGTTGTGGAGAGAGTGGTCCCTACAGAAGGCAGATAAGAGTGGGGAGGGAAATATATATCCTTGGTTGTGGGGTCAAATTGCAGGTGGCGGAAGTAACGGAGAATGGTACGTTGAATCCGGAGGTTAGTGGGGTGCTACGTGAGGACAAGGGGATTCTGTCTTTGTTTTTGTTGCGGAGAGGAGATGTGAGGTCAGGGGTGCGGGAAATGCAAGTGATGCAGTCGAGAGCATTTTTGACCTCTGAAGGGGGAAAGTTGCGGTCCTTGAAATAAGAGGGCATCTGGGATGTTTGGGAGTGGAACAACAAACAACAACACCTTCCAGTTGCAAACCATTTCAAATCCCCCTCCCACTCCTTGGGCAACATGTCCATCCTGGGCCTCCTCCAGTGTCACAATGACGCCACCCGGAAACTGGAGGAGCAGCACCTCCTATTCTGCCTTGGGAGCCTCCAGCCCAATGGTCTCAATGTGGACTTTACCAGTTTCAAAATCTCCCCACCCCCGGCCTCATCTCATGACCAAACCTCTATCTCATCCCCGCCTCCTTGACCTGACACAACCTGTCCATCTTCTCTCCCACCTATTCGCTCCTCCCACCTCAATGATCAATCCCCGCCACTGCATACCTGCACTCACCTATCACCATCCCACCTACATTCCCCAGCCCCACCCCTCCTCTCTCTATTTATTTCAGAGCTCCCTTCCCCCTCCCCCATTTCTGAAGAAGGGTCCTGACCCGACACATCAACTTTCCTGCTCCTCTGCTGCTTCCTGGCCTGCTGTGTTCCTCCACCTCCACACTGTATTTTTCATGATCTGAGATTCTTCTTTGCTGACACCCACATGTTATATTTTATTATCAGAGCTACGCCTCCTCCTTTGTCATTCTACATGTCTTACCCAAAATTTGTGTGGCCTGGAGCGTTTATTTCCCAAACTTGATTCTTGTAAGCCCTATAAGCGTATTTCTGTAACAGTGTTTAGATCTAAATCTGTACTGCTAGTTCTCAATCGCAGATGGTTTGTGTACTCAGATGAAGAAGCTATACTTTCTTCTTTTAACTTTTATTCTCCTCACATTGTTTGCTGATATACAATTTTTTGTTAAGCTCTGTGACCCATTCTGCTTCCATTTACCTGCATCGTAATACTGTCTTGACCTATCTCTACCTATCTCCATTAGAACCCTAGACAACAAGGTGCAGGGCTGGATGAACACAGCAGGCCAAGCAGCATCATAGGAGCAGTGCTGCTTGGCCTGCTGTGTTCATCCAGCCCTACACCTTGTTGTCTCGGATTCTCCAGCATCTGCAGTTCCTACTATCTCCATTAGAACCCTTCTCATCACCCCTACCAACCATCCCTTTGTTTTGATTGATTCATTCATGGAGTGATGGCGAGACTGACATTTGTTGCCCATTTCTAATTGCCCAGGCGGGAGGCAGTTAGGAGCCAGCCACATTGTTGTGGGTCTTGGATTCACAGGCCAGCTTCCTTATGACATCAGTGAACCAGATTTTCTCTAACAATCGACTTGTAGCTATCATTACTCACAATTCCAGATTTTTAAAATTTAATTCAAATTTCATCTGCGACCCAGAACATTCATTGCCTGGGTCTCTGGAGTAACAATAAAGCAACAATACCATTGGGCCATTGACTCCCCCAGTTTAAAACCAGTGGCCTGGCTAATATTTATTCCCAAGCCACCATTTCAGAACGGATTATTGTGTGGCCATTATCACATTGCTGCATGTAGGTTCGCAAATTGGTCACTGTTTCTGACGTGAGTGGGACTGTGCAGACTGGGGAAGGCGCTATATGAATGTAAATCCTCACCTTGGCAGGGCAATGTAGGCCAATCAGGCGTGGGGCTGCCTGGAGACTGGTCATCTGTCCAATGCGAGCACGGGGCGGGCCAAGGTCGGTCCAATGAGAGCAGGGGGCTGACCGGAATCTGTCCAATCCGGACAGGGACTGGTACAGGATCTGCCCAATGCGCGTAGGGGGCGGGCCACGATCTGTCCAATGACGACAGGGGCGGTCGGGGATCTGTCCAATCCGAACAGGGTGCTGTCGCGGGGCTGCCCAATGCAGTTAGGGGGCGGGGCCTCCACCGTCGTTCCAGCAGATTTTCTGAGAGTTCGGGAATGGCGGTGAAGATGGCGGCTGGAGAGCTGAGCTCTTTGGAGGACTGTCTGGAGGAGCACCTTCCTCCCGAGGTGCTGCAGCGTGTCTGGCGGATGCTTTATGGCAGAGACACCAGGTGAGGAGCGGGTGTTGGAATGTAGTTCCCCCAGAGTCTGTGCTCACTGCTCTGTGGATTAGTGAACTACAATCCCCAGAGAGCAACGCGGCCGCAGGCCGATGTGGGGGGTGGGGCCAGGCTGCTGCCCTGTCGCTGCTTGTGACAGGATCTCTCTGGCTTTTCTTTTTCTCTTTAGTATCTGTAATTTCCCTAATCTGTCCCGGACAAAATTTCACCCGTCCAAACCCCGATTTATCATATTAATCATAAGAACTTGAAGTAAACGGAACTAAATTAATTTGGGATGGACCAGTTGGTCCAAAAGGTTTGTTTCCATGCTGTACAGCTCCATGAGTCTAGAAGGGCCTCCAACGAAGGACTGTTGCACCATCAGACGAGTTGGGTTTGCATGAACAGCAAGGAATGTCTCTGCCTGAAGACGTGGCCAACATTTACCGTTCAATCAAAGTCACAAATAAAAACAGAGGTTCCGAGGAAGGGTCACCGGACCTAAAACGTTAACTGATTTTTCTTCACAGATGCTGCCAGACCTGCTGAGCTTTTCCAGCCACTTCTGTTTTTGTTCTTGATTTACAGCATCCGCAGTTCTTTCAGTTTTTATTTAGAGATTATCTGAGGGTCAAAAACACATTACTGTTATGGGATTTTGATGCACATTAATGGGGTGCTATGATTCCACATTTAAAATGTGGTTACACTTTAAAAATGCTTAATTAGCCCTGAGTCATGTTTGACACATGCCATCATCTTGAACATCTCCCATATAAATATAAAACCTTTCCTTTAGTGTGTCATTCAGCATGTAGTCCTGGACCTTGGAATTGTGCCAGTCTGCAACATTTGTTTGGAGTCAGCTACTTGCTCTGGAAGACCAACAATTTTCAGGCAGAACAAAGAGCATCTTTCAATGAGTTGATAGTCTTCTAGACGCAGTCAATGTTTGTCTCAGTGTGGGTCCTGCACAGAGACCTGCATCACAAATCTGTTTGGGATGAACCTTGACAAAAACCGTTGCGTCTTTCTCCAGACTTCGTTTGCAAAAGCACATCCCAGAAAGAGATGTGTGACACCCCCACCCGCTGCAGCTGCTTCAAGTATGCAATGGCACAGACATACCGGGTGTACAAGAAGGATCTCACAGGTAGTGCCCCACTCACCACCAGTGATGTCTTGGTGCTTGTTGGAGAGTTCTGGTGATGAAGCATTCTGCCACATGACTTTGACAGTCTGCTCAGACAACCACACAACAGAATCCACCCTCTCCCTTTCCTGCAAGGTTTTGAGGACATCATGTGCTGGCCACTTCCTGATGGACTTGTGGTCAAAGGTATTTTCTTTATAATTTCTCCACGAAAGACAGGTGATATGGAGTGGTCAAACTACTTGGAATGTTCTGCGGCACTGCCACAAAGCTCGGGGAAGCAGCCGCCGCGTGCAGTGGGGAAAGACTGAGGCCTTTCTGCTGAAGGTAAAAGGGGATCAGTTCAGTTATTGGATCCTCCCGGTACCTCAGTTATATGTAAATATAACCTTGAACAAATAAGAGATAGTAGGAGCTGCCGATGCTGGAGAATCTGATATAACAAGGTGTAGAGCTGGATGAACACAGCAGGCCAAGCAGCATCAGAGGAGCAGGAAAGCTGACGTTTCGGGTCTAGACCCTTCTTCAGAAATGGGGGAGCGGAAGGGGATTCTGAAATAAATAGGGAGAGAGGGGGAGGCGGATAGAAGATGGATGAAGGAGAAGATAGGTGGAGAGGAGACAGGTCAAAGAGGCGGGGTTGGAGCCAGTAAAGGTGAGTGTAGGTGGGGAGTTAGGGAGGGGATAGGTCAGTCCAGGAAGGACGGACAGGTCAAGGGGGCGGGATGAGGCTGGTAGGTCGAAGATAGGGGTGGGGCTTGAGGTAGGAGGATTAGATAGGTGGGAGGAAGGACAGGTTAGGGAGGCGGGGATGAGATGAGCTGGTTTAGGGATGCGGTCGGTGGAGGGGAGATTTTGAAGCTTGTGAAGTCCACATTGATTACCATTGGGCTGCAGGGTTCCCAAGCGAAGTATGAGATGCTGTTCCTGCAACCTTCGAGTGGCACTGCAGGAGGCCCAGGATGAACATGTCCAAGGAGTGGGAGGGGGAGTTGAAATGGTTCGCGACTGGGAGGTGCAGACATTTGTTGTGAACCGAGCGGTTGCAGGGAAAAGTGCTGGGGAGTGTGAAGCGGACAAGAGAATCACAGAGAGAGTGGTCCCTCTGGAAAGCAGATAAGGGTGGGGAGGGAAAAATGTCTTTGGTGGTGGGGTCAGATTGCAGATGGCGGAAGTGCTGGAGGATGATGCGTTGGATCCGGAGGTTGGTGGGGTGGTACGTGAGGACGAGGGGGATGCTGTTTTGGTTGTTATTGCGGGGATGGGGTGTGATGGATGAGTTGCGGGAAATGCGAGAGACACGGTCGAGGGCATTTTCGACCACTGTGGAGGGGAAATTGCGGTCCTTGAAAAATGAGGACGTCTGGGATGTCTGGGAGTGGAATGCCTCATCTCGGGAGCAGATGCGGCGGAGGCGGAGGAATTGGGAATATGGGATGGCATTTTTGCAGGAAGGTGGGTGAGAGGAGGTGTATTCTAGGTAGCTGTGGGAGTCGGTAGGCTTGAAATGGATATCGGTTTCCAGGTGGTTGCCAGAGATGGAAACCGAGAGGTCCAGGAAGGAGAGAGAGGTATCGGAGATGGTCCAGGTGAACTTAAGGTTGGGTGGAAGGTGTTAGTGAAGTGGATGAACTGTTCGAGCTCCTCGTGGGAGCATGAGGTGGCGCCAAAGCAGTCATCGATGTAACGGAGGAAGAGGTGGGGGATAGGGCCAGTGTAGCTACCGATTTTCGTTTTTCAAGGACCGCAACTTCCACTCCACAGTGGTCGAAAACGCCCTCGACCATGTCTCTCGCATTTCCCGCAACTCATCCCTCACGCCCCGTCCCCAATAGCCCCACCACCCCCGGCATTTTTCCCTGCAACTGCAGGAAGTCCTACACCTCCCCCCTCACCCCCATCCCAGGCCCAAAGAAGACCTTCCACATCAAACAGATGTTCACCTGCACATCTGCTAATGTGGTATACTGTATCCGCTGTTCCCGATGTGGCCTTCTCTACGTCGGGGAAACCAAGTGGAGGCTTGGTGGCCGCTAAACGGAACACCTATGCTCGGTTCGCGACAAATGTCTGCACCTCCCAGTCGCGAACCATTTCAACTCCCCCTCCCACTCCTTGGACGACATGTCCATCGTGGGCCTCCTGCAGTGCCACAACGATGCCACCCGAAAGTTGTAGGAACAGCATCTCATATTTCGCTTGGGAACCCTGCAGCCCAATGGTATTAATGTGGACTTCACAAGCTTCAAAATCTCCCCTCCCCCGATCGCATCCCAAAACCAGCCCAGCTCGACCCCGCGTCCCTAACCTGTCCTTCCTCCCACCTATCCACTCCTCCTACCTCAAGCCCCACCCCTATCTCCGACCTACCAGCCTCATCCTGCCCCCTTGACCTGTCCGTCCTCCCTAACTCCCGCCTACACTCACCTTTACTGGCTTCAGCCCCACCTCTTTGACCTGTTTGTCTCCTCTCCATCTAGAACCAGAACTTTTGTTCTGAGGAAGGGTCACTGGACCCGAAACGTTAAATCTGTTTTTCCCTTCACAGATGCTGCCAGACCTGCTGAGCTTCTCCAGCGACTTTGTTTTTGTTCCTGATTTGCAGCATCCGTAGTTCTTTCGGTTTTTATCGAATGTTTGTTTGTTTTCTTCATTCGTTACTGTACACAACCAAACTGCTTTAGTGACTTTGCATATTTTCTATGAATAAAGTATATTTTTGAAATTTAAAAAAAAGTAAAAGCCTTCCCTTATTGGTACATTGATCCTAATCTTCTAAAGTTCCCTTGACTCTGGAAAGATCTTTCTTCTATGAGGAGCAAGGGGATGTAGTTCCATTGGAGGTAGTTAGGCAAGGTTTATTATTAACAGAATAACAGAAGAAAGATTGAGCAGGTTGGACCAATTCTCATTATAGTTCCAAAGAATGGGATGTGATCTTACTGAAACATAAGATTCTGAGAGGTGGATATAAATATTTATCCTCATGAGGCAATCGAAGACTAGGGGTTACAGCTTCAAGATGAGGGTTCTCTCACACGATGGAGATGAAGAGAAATTTCTTCTCATACAGAGGTTGTTAGTGTTCGGAATTCATTGAATCACAAATGAATAAGGAAGTTGGACCATTGATTATATTTGAGGCTGAGTTAGCCAGGTCTTTGATCAACAAAGAAGACTAGGGTTATGGGGTGCAGTAAGGGAGTTAGAATTGAGGCCAGAATCTGTCAGACCAGTCATGATCTTAATGAAGGCAGTGCTGGATGGATGGGCCAAATGTTTTACTTTCACCCCTATTCCTTCAAATCTTGTTCTTTTAATGAGTACCACAAGTAGTTGTGAATCATTATCTCCCTGCTGTTCAGGAGATCCTGCTGTGCTCAAATTATTTGCCATGTTTCTTAAATTAGAGCAGTAACTATGCTTCATTGGCTGAAAATTTTTAGATGTCTAGAGGTGATGAAATGTACAAGTGCAAAGCTTCCTTTCAGTCACAATGCACAGTGACCTAAATAGTTGCTCAACCTGTTTATCTCAAACTGACCCTAGAATTTATTCTGTTAATAGCAAATCTTGTGTTTACAGGTTTACTGCCATGAGCAGAGATACTTTGACCCAGTCAAGAGACACCTGGCTGCAGAATGTCATAGAATCATAGAAAAGTTATAACAATGAAAGAGGCCATTCAGCCCACCATATCTATGCTGACTAAATAAATTAGCTGTTCATTCTATTCCGGCTACCTAGTCCATTGCAGGTTACAGCACCTCAGCTGCAGATCCAGGTTTTTGTATAAATGCGTTGAGTGTCTCTCTCTCAACCACCAAACTGGGCGATGAACATTATCCATCACCCTCTAGGTGAAAAAGCTTTTTTATGTTCCCTCTAAACCTTCTACCTGTCACTCTTAAACCTAAGGCCCCTGGTAATTGACTCTTGTCTCTGGGAAAGACATCTTCCCAAACCATGATATCTAACTCAGTGTTATTTTGTGCACCTTAATTTAGTTACCTATCACTAGCCTATCTAATGTTTCCCCTCACCTATAATTTTTAAGCCCTGGCAACATTCCTTGACGTTCAATGGTGTTACCATCACTGAATCCCCTACTATCAACATCCTGGAGGTTTATCACTGACCAGAAGCTCAACTGGACTCACCACATAAATACAGTGGCTACAAGAGCAGGTCAGAAGCTGGGATTACTGCGGCGAGTAACTCACCTCCTGACTCCTCAAAGCCTGTCCACCATCAACAAGGCACAAATTAAGAGTGTGATGGAAACCTCCCCACTTGCCTGGATGAGTGCACCTCCAACAACACTCAAGAAGCTTGACACCAGCCAGGACAAAGCTCCACTGGTTTGGCACTACATCCATCAACATCCACTCCCTCCACCACCGACGCTCAGTAGCAGCAGTGTGTACTATCTACAAGATGCACTGCAGAAATTCAACAAAGATCCTCAGACAGCACCTTCCAAACCCACAATCACTTCCACCTAGAAGGACAAGGACAGCAGATATGTGGGAACAGCACCACCTTCAAGTCCCCTCCGAGCAACTCACCATCCTGACTTGGAAATATATCGCCGTTCCTTCACTGTCACTGGGCTAGAATCCTGGAATTCCTTCCCTAATGGCACTGTGGGTCAACCCACAGCAAGTGGACTGCAGCAGTTCAACAAGGCAGATCACTACCACCTTCTCAAGGGCAACTAGGGATGGGCAAGAAATGCTGGCCAGCTAGCGACACCCACATCCCACAATGAATTTAAAAAAATTCTTGTAAATTTCTTTTGTACTCTAGAAAAATGATGTCCTCCCAGTAATGAGGTGGTGAGAACTCCAGCAAAGACCTGACCAGTTCTTATTTAGTTTCAGAATTACATCCCTGTTTTTGTATGTGATATCCTCATGCAATGAAGGAAAGCCTGAATGGGTGCTGCTCCAACAACACTCAACAGGCTTGACACCATCCAGAACAAAGTATTCCACTTGATTGATACCATATCCACAAGCATCCACTCCCTCCACCACTGACACACAGTAGCAGCAGTGTGTTCTACGTTTAAGGTACATTGCAGATATTCACCAAAGATCCTTAAACAACACCTTCCAAACCCACAACCAGTTCGAAAGAGAAGGGCAAGGTCGGCAGATACATGGGAGAAACTGAGATTTTGTGAAAACACAGTTATATAAATGAAAATAAAAACCTGAAGTTTAGATTGTCGAGCATTGAGTGTTTGCTTTCTGTTTTTCAGAAAGCTGGATTTGCCAAAGTCAGCTTTGGAAGCCTCTATGGAGAAGGACTTTCAGCTGAAGGCTTTTGGATTTGAGGCCTCCACAGAGCAGCTCCGTCAGCCTCGAGTTGTGAGAGTGGGACTTATTCAGAACAAGATTCGCCTTCCTACTGATTTCCCTGTGTCTGAGCAGGTGTGGGATAGTGTGGGCTTGCTTCAATGTTTGAATTGAAACCAATGCAATGGCTGGATGACGCTGCACTTACAGACCATAACTAGGCCCAACTTGTCCACACTGAAGTTTATACCTTCTGTCACCCTATCAAATATCTTTCTGTTTCTTGCTTCCTTGTATGTTTGTCAAGCTTTCCTTTAAATGTATTCACTTTATTAATTTTAGCCACTCCCTGTGGTAGTAAGTTCCACGATCTAACCATTCTCTAGATAAAGACATAGTCTGTTACTGGATCTTACATTTATAGTTCCCTAGCTCTAGACACCCCTAGAAACAGAAATATTTTCTTCCGGTCCCCTTTATTGAATCCCTTCATAATTTCAAGCCTGCAAAACGTCTCCTCTTTCTTTGTAGCAAAGAGCCCGTTTTTTGAGCTTGATCAGCCTTTCTTTATAAATATAATGTTTCCGGTTCTGGAATCACCTGAGTAATTTTTCTTTCTGCATCCTCTCTGCTTCCTCTGTATTCTTTTGGTGAAATGGTCTGATCAAGACCTGGATTTTTTTTTCTCCTGAGTTAGGAGCACAGAGATGAGTACTTCCCACTGGAATACAGTGAAGAGTTTTGAGCCCCTTATCTATCTAAGGAAAGATGTACTGATGTTGGAGGCAGCCCAGAGAAATTTCACTAGGCCGACACAAGATATAGAGGGACTGTTTTATGAGGAGAGGTTGAGTAGGTTGGGTCTGTACGTATTAGAATATAGAAGAATGACAGGCAGCCTTATTGGAACATAAGGTTGTTAGAGAACTTTGACAGGGTTGATGTGTCAAAGTTGTTTCCCCTGTAGAAGAATTTAGGACTAGAGGTCATTATCTCAGAATTAGGCGTCACCCGTTTAAGACAAAGATGAGGAATTTCTCCTCTGAGGGTGGTGAATCTGTGGAATTATTTATCTCACAGGACTGTTGAGACTGGATCATTAAGTATATTCAAGGCTGAGAGACAAATTTTTAATCAGTAAAGGAATTAATAATTTTCTGACAGCTTCAGTTACTTGACAGAACAATAGCACCAATGACTTCATGCATTTTTTTGCACAAGTGTGGCTCATTTTACTAAAGGTTAAGGGTACCTAATGTCTCCCAAATGGTGCCTTACCATCTCAAGCCCTCTAAATATCTTCTGAGACCAGATCAAGGGAGGTATCTTATCTCTCCAAAAGGGTATGATGGCTATCCAAGAAAATACGGAAATTACATTCCAGTTTCTGCTTTGAACATGCAGAGTTCCTCACTGAGAACCCCAAATTCCGAGTCAACTGGAGGTAGCTGATCATTTAAATAGCCATCTGTCCATGACCCATGCATATGCGTACTTTGACACAATGCGCGAAAGTTGGAAGTGTTCTTTTCAAGGTGGAACTTGGGATTTCCAGGTATCTGCTTCATTTTCTTCATGATGGAGAACCTCTCTGCTGTGAAAATTCAGATCTAGCTTTACCTCCCAACTTTTCAAATCTGTTTCTTGCCAATGAACTGCAATGCCTTGCTATCATTTTTTTTAAACCTGCAGTGTTATCGTTAATGATTGTGAATCCATAAAGGATCAAAACATAGAAGATAGGAGCAAGGGTAGGCCATTTTGGCCTTTGAGCCAGCTCTGCCATTCTGTGTGATCATGACTGATCTTCCAACTCGGTCCCCTATTCTTGCTTTTGCCCCATGCCCTTTGATCTCTTTAGCCCTAAGAACTAAATCTAACTCCTTATGAAAGCATTCAATGTTTTGGCCTCAGCTGCTTTCTGTGGCAGAGAATTCCACAGGCTCGCCAAACTCTGGATTAAGAAATTTCTCCTCATCTCAGACCTAAATGGCCTACTCTCTATCCTTAAACTGTGCTACCTCGTTCTGAACTCTAGTGATTTTAGTCCGAACTGATCCAGTCTTCCAGTGTGTCTTCATAAGCCAGTCTTGCCAGGAATCCATCTGGTAAACCTTTGTGGCCCCAACCACCCCCGACAGCCAGAACATCCTTCTTCAGATAAGGAGATCCAAACTGCACACAATACTCCTCACCAAGGTCCTGTATAATCGCAGCAAGATATCCCTGCTCCTGTATTCAAATCCTCTTGCTATGAAGGGGAACCTGCTGCACTTGCATGCTAACTTTCAAGGGCACCCATGTCTGGTTTCACCTCTCCCTTTCCCAGTCTATCACTATTCAAATAATAATCTGCCATCCTGTTTTTGCTGCCAAAGTGGATAACTTCACATTTGTCCATATTCTCCTTCATCTGCTGTCCATTTGTCTACTTACTCAGTTTGTCCAAATCATGCTGAAGCATCTTTGCATTCTCCTCACAGTTCACCCTCCCACTCAGTTTTGTATCAACTGCAAACTGGGAGATTAATGGTAATATATTGTGAGTAGGGGGTCCGAGCACTGATCCCTGCAGTACCGCAGCAGTCACTGGCTGTCAATTGGAAAAAGTTCCATTTGTTTCTGCTATTTGTTTCCTACCTGCCAACCAGTTCTCTATTGAAGTCAGTAAACTACCTCCAATCCTATGTGAGTTACAGTACAGAAGAAGCCCTTTGGCCCATCAAGTCTACACCAACCTATCCACACTAATCACACTTTCCAGCAATTAGCCCATGCCCTTGATTGTTATAATATTTGAAGTGCTCATCAACATACTTTTTAAAGGCTGTGCCATTTCCTGCCTCACCTACTGTCCAAAGCATTCCAAATTCCCACCATCTGAGTGAAAAGTCTTCTCCTCAAATTGCTTTTAAACTTTCCATCCTTCACCTAAAATGATATTCCTGGTTTATTGACCCTTCAACTAAGTGGAACAGCTGCTTTTTGTCCACCCTATCCATGCCCCTCATAATCTTATACACCTCTATCCTATGCCTCAACCTTCTCAGGTCCAATGAAAAAAAATCCAAGCTAATCCAGCCTCTTTTCTGAGCTAAAATGCTCCAATCCAATCAATATCCTGGCGAACCTCCTCTGAACCCCCTCCAGTGCTTCACTCCCTTAACTGCTTTAATTTTACCTACTAATCTCTTATGAGACCTTATCAAAAGCCTTTTGAAATTCCAAATAAGCCATGTCTTCTGGTTCCCCTTTACAACTCTGCTTGCTTGCATTCTCAAACTTTCAGTAGATTTGTCAAGCATGATTTCTCTTTCATAAATCCTTGCTGACTTTGTCGGATCTTGTCATTGTTTTCCAAGTGCTCTGCTATTAAGTCTTATTATAACGGACTCTAGCATTTCCCTCACTACTGATGTCAGGTCTGTAATTCCCTGTTTTCTCTCTACCTCCTTTTTTAAATGGTGGGATTATATTTGCACTAGCTCCTTGAAATCGTTCCAGAATGTATAGAACCTTGAAAGATGACCACCAATTAATTCACTATTTCTAGGGCCATTTCTGGGATTGTAGATTATAAATTCCCAAGGTCCTAGGAATTATTGGCCTCTAATTCCATTAAATTCCCCTACACTATTTCCCTACTAATGCTGATTTCCTTCAGTTCCTTCCTGTCACTGAACCCCATGTTGAGACATGAAGACAGACAGCCAAAGCAAATCAGCCTCATTATCCTTGTATTTGCAACGCAGTAAAATTGAAATGTTTGAAGCATACAATGTGCTGAAGATTAGTGGGAAGCCAGGGGATTGGAAAGTCTTTAAAAGCCAGCAGAAGATATCTAAAAGACCAACGGGGGGGAATAAAATGAATTATCAGGGTAAGCTAGCTAGTAACATAAAAGGAGATTGCAAGAATTTTTTTAGATACTTAAAAAGTGAGAGAGAGGCAAGAGTGGACATTGGACCGCTGGAAAATGAGGCTTGGTAAGTAGTAATGGGGAGCAAAGAAACAGTGTAGGAACTGAATAGGTACTTTGTGCCAGTCATCAGGTGAAAGACACCAACAGCACACACCAGAACTTCAAGAGAGTCAGGGGGCAGAGGTGAATGCAGTGGCCATCACAAAGAAGAAGGTGCTGGGTAAGCTGAAAGGTCTGAAGGTAGATAAACCACCTGGATGAGATGGACCACACTCTAGCGTTCTGAAAGAGATAGCTGAGTAGATTGTAGAGGCATTGGTGGTGATCTTTCAGGAATCACTGGAGTCAGGGAGGGTCCCAGAGGACTGGAAAATGGCTAATGTAACACCCCTGTTAAAAGAAGGAAGGGAGGCAGAAGACAGGAAACAATAGGCTGGTTAGCCTGACCTGAGTCATTAATAAGATTTTAGAATCCATTATTAAGCAAGAGATATCAGTGTATTTGAAAGTGCAAGAAAAATAGGGCTGAGTGATGCCTGACAAATCTGTTAGAATTTTTTGAGGAGGTAACAAGCAATTTAGACAAAAGAGAGCCAGTGGATGTGGCCTGTTCTCTGGATTTCCAGAAGACCTTTGACAAGGTGCCACTCATGAGCTTGCTAAATAAGACAAGAGCCCATGGTCTTAAGAGCTAGGTACTGGCATGGATATAGGATTGGCTGACTGGCAGAAGGCAGACAGTGCGAATCAGGGGGGCAGCTGGTGACTAGAGGAGTTCTGCAGGAGTCATTGTTGGAACCACACCTATTCATGTTATACATTTAATGATCTGGATGAAGGAACTGAGGGCATTGTTGCAAAATTTGCAGATGACACAAAGGTAGGTGGAAAGACAGGTAGTATTGAGGAAACAGGGTGGCTACAGAAGGACTTGGACAGGCTAGGAGAGTTGGAAAGTAAATGGCAGATGGAATGAAATGTAGGAAAGCATGAAGTTATGCACATTGTTGGGAAGAATAGAAGCATAAACTATTTTCTAAATGGAGAAAGGCTTCGTAAATCTGAAGCACAAAGGGACTTATGAATCCTAGTTCAGGATTCTCTTAAAGTTAACATGCAGATTCAGTTGGCAAATGCTATGTTAGCGTTTATTTCAAGACGGCTAGAATACAAGAGCAGTGATGTACTGCTAGGCTGTATAAAGCCACAATCC